AGCTGGGACACAAACCATGGGGGTGAGGCCTGTCCATATTTGCCTGCACTTACAAGTAACTGAACTGAAGTTACAGCCCCCCATACTCGTGTGCACAGTACAAATGAAAATGTTAGTGCCAGGCAGGATTTCAGAGGAGGAAAAATGGCAGCCTGAGGATCCCGTTGTGGAGTGCTGGGGGGTCTGATGAGACATACACTGGCCGGGCAGCCAGGTAGAGGTGGAGGCCTGGGAGCTCTCTGGGACCTCTGTACATCACTTCCTCTATCTGGGCTACGTTCTCCCAGCTGAAAAAGGATCCCACAGACCGAAGTCTGATAGCTGTTCAGAGGGCTCGCTGTCCTTCATGCCTGGGGACACAGGGGAGGGACAGAGTGTGGGGAGGAGCTGACAGACCCTGGTTTTGGAAAACCAGAGCAGCTCCACGGGATTTGGCCCAAGTGCTTGGGGTGAGGAGGAGCGCAGGGCAGGGTGCTCCCTGATGCCTGGAAGGAGTTCTGTGGCCAGGCACACTCCTTTTATTCCACGCTGACCCTGCCAGGAGTGCTGGTTTTCATCTTTTCTGAGTGATGTGTAACCCCCTGCAGTTGTGCATGTGTGTTTTCTAAGTTTGTCACAAACTTCCTGTTTGGGTATGGTTCGAGGCTGGAAGCGATGTGTGTTTTGAAACCCGGGCGTTCACAGAGGTCCAGTGCTTCTCTCTTATCAGCCATGGGGTGGCCCTTTTGTTCTCCTCCCTTTTGCTGGCTTTTGCCATCCTCCTTGGCAAACCTTCTCACTGGGAAATGCTCTGTAGCTTCTGTTCTTGTTTCTGTTAGTGAGGTTGAGACTGGGAGATCTGAAGGCTGGAAGGAGGGAAGGGAACAACACTTGTTGGACCCCTTATGTAATGCCAAGCTCTGTGCTAGATGTTTTTATCCATTTCTTGTTTTATTTAAGCCTCACAGTAGCTCATGCAGAACTAGGCTCAGAGAGGTTAAGTGACCAGCCCAAGGTTGGACAGCCACTGGGTGACAGGTCAGGATTTGATCCTAGGGCTCACTCCAGAGATCCTGTTATTTCAACTGTGTCATGAGGACCACACTGCACCTTTGGTTCCACTGGTTTGGGGAGATCTTGATTTCTTACTGGGCATCCTGGCAGACAGCATCACCTTGACCTCCAGAGTTTTCTCCCAGACCCTTGTTATTCAGGTGCTGCCTACTCTATCTGTGTGGAGTGTGATTTGATGCCCTTGAGTGCTTTCCTGACTTGCACCTTTCCCAACCATCCTCCCTCTGTGGCCCTGGGAACCCCAGAATTGTTGTGTGGTTGTGGCTGATGATTGGAATGGGTTAGGACCAACTCCCAGTTTCCCAGAAATGGAGTATCCTTTTTCCTACTTCTGGGCGCCCAGCACTGACCATTCTGCTGCTTACCATGAGCTCCACTCAGCTGGATTTCTCACATTTCAAGCTCTTCCCCAGAAGAGGGAAGAAGATAGGACATCTGTGTCAGGTGAAGGGGTAGCTAAGGAAGGACACCAAGACCTTGAATATGTAGGAGCGGGAAGAGGAGGGAAGAGCTAAATCCAGCCACCCTCCTTCTTTTTAGGAGAGCTGTTACAGGGTGCCAGACTCTGGGTGCTCCTGCGAAGGAAGAAGAGGTACTGTAGGCTTCCAGAAACATTAAGAAGGCCCTGTGTCCCTGCCCTTACCCATCCCAGTTCTCTTGTATTTTCTGAAAAACTTCTAGAAGTATATCCTCTGAGCTTCATCAGAATTGTTCTGTAGATCAAGTAACATTTACCATTCAAGACCCTGTGTTGAGCAATGGGCAATTCCAAGCATTTTTAACACACATATTAATTACCCTGAAGGGGTTTGCAGTCTACTCGGGCAAATGGAACACTTGCCAAGAGAAGCTAAATGCAGGGAGCTCCGAAGAGCCCGGGATTGCTCAGCACGCTGGGTGGTGCTGCTCACTGGACTGCAGGAGGGAGCAGGGTAGTCAGAGGGGTGGGGCTGCAGAGGGAGAATGTGCCGGGCACTGGGGCCCTGAGGGGGCGTGGCAAGGGGAGGAGTGTACGGATGGGGTGGAAATAAGACTGAAGAGGGAGATGTGCATTGTTTATGAAGGATCCCAAGGGATGGCTGTGGGGTTTGGAAATTTTTGTATTGGGGAGCCACGGAAGCCAACTGAAGAGGACGAGGATTGGTAAAAACAGTGCTGTAAGAAGGTTCATCTGGATGTGTGCGCTGTAAATGGGGATGCTGGGAGGTGAGTTAGAGGACATTTATGATGTTGAATTTTAGGAATAAAGTATTGAGGGCTTGGACTGGGATGGTGGCATGAATGTAGAAAAGAAGATAGAGAGATGGGAGGTTTCAAATCCCAGCTCTGCCCCCTGCTACCTGTGCAATCTTGAGCAGGTCACTTAATCTCTTGGACCTGTTTCATCGTCTGTAAATAGAAGCTAAAAACACTTCACAGGACTGTTGTGTGAGGTTCAAGTTGTGTCACACCCAGCATGCAGTAGGAGCTCAACAAATGGGAGTCCCCTCATATTGTAAGGGGCACGATTTGTGATTGGCTGGAGGAATTGGGGGAGTGGAGGGTGAGGGCTCAAAGAGTTGGATCTGGGAGCCTGGGAGAATGCCGCAGCCTTGACAGAAATGGATGGAGCTGTTTGAGGTCCCTGAATTCAGTTTTAGGAAGACTCTCCTAAATGCAGGCTGCTGAGGGCCTGTCCCAGAAACCCCACAGCCATGCGGATTGTGCCTCTAGGAAACCCTGGCCTCTGGTTTCCGCTGGGCCCTCCGTGGTGCTGAACAGCAGCCAGCTCTCTATCTGATCAGGGTCGGCACTGGGTGAGGAGAATGAGTCACCTGGGGCACAGAATTTAGGGAGGCGCTCGGTTTCAGGGCCCACCCTGCACTTGCACGATTCCCTGCGGTGGGATGTTCCACACCATCACAACCTCCATCGGGCCCGCTCTCCCTCTCTGCCCTTCTTCGCTCAGGAAACAACTTGGCTTCATTTATTCATTGACCAAGTCACTCAGCAGTGGGCCCACTCAAGTTCCTGCCTCCCCTCCGGGTGGTTATCAGCATCTGAGCTCATCCCTGCATGCTTTCCTTTCACTCAGTCCCTCCTCCTGACCAGAGAGAACCTTCCTCCTGTACATGGGTCCTCCATCTCCTGTCGCTCCTGGGTCCTCACTCTTCAGTCATTCAGCAGTAAAATCTTTCCTGAAACCCTCATCTCCCTCTGCTTCCCATTGTCTTTTTCCTCCCCTCACAGACGCGTCTGGAAAGAATCTGTCCTCAGGTTTTGCTCCTTTGCTGACACAGCCCGCTCAGGCTGGCTTCTGCCTGTGGGAGGTCTGGCACGGCGAGGGACGTGGTGGATTTGCTGCAGAGGACGCCTGCCTTCCACAGGCACTGCCCTGTCAAAGGTCACGTTGGCCTCCATATTACCACACCAACGAACACTTCGTCCTTATCTTTCTGGACTCTTTGCTACTTTTGATACTATGAACAACTTCCTCCTTCTTGCAACTCTTTTTTTCTCTTGGCTTCTTTCATTCCACAATGAATCTTTCAATAGTTATTTCTTGAGCACCTACTATATCCCAGGCTCTGGGATATACCATAATATGATGTCCCTGCTCTTGGCAAGTTTATAGTGTAGTGGGAGAAAAGAGGGATAAAAACATAAACAAATGTCAGACGGTGATAAGGGCTACAAGAACGAAGACAACAGGGAAGGGCATAGAAAGCATGCTGGGTGGGGGTGGAGGGCCTCACTGAGAAGGTGACATTCAAGCAGAAACCTGAAGGAAATAGGATGCCTGGGGCAGAGTGTTGCAGGTACTGAGAAACTCTGCTCTTCCCTCTAGAAGAGCAAGTGCAAAGGCCCTGAGACAGGAGCCTGCTTGGGATGTTTGAGGAAGCCACTGTGGCTGGAGGAAATTGGAGAAGGGCAGAGTAGGAGAAGAGGTCAGGGAAGAGGCTGGGCCAGGCCATGGGCCTTGTAGGTCATTTCAAGGACTTTATCTTTTACGTTGAGGAAGATGAGACACTATAGGAGTGTTTTGAGCAAAAGAGTGGTTTTTAAATGACAACGTAGGCTGCTGTGGGGAGCATGGTGTATTGGTTTGCCAGGGCTGCCATAACAAACTACCACAGACTGGGCAGCTTAAACAACAGGAATTTATTCTCTCACAGTTCTGAAGGCCAGAAGTCTGAGACCACGGTGTCAGCAGGGCCATGCTCCCTCTGAAGCTGCTAGGGAATGATGTATTCCAGACCCGTCTTCTAGCTTCTGGTAGTTTCTTGGCTTGTGGCAGCATAACTCCAGTCTTCACATGGTGCTCTCCCTGTGTGCGTGTCTGTGTCCAAATTTCCCCTTTATATAAGGACACCAGTCATATTGGATTAGGGACCCACCCTACTCTAGTTTGACCTCATCTTAACAGCTAATTATATCAACAATGACCCCATTCCCAACTAAGGTCATATTCTGAGGTACTGGGGGTTAGAACTTCAACATAGAAATTTTGGGGGAGATACAATTTAGCCCATAACACAATTCAACCCATAATTCATGAGTATTTGAATAATTGCATAATTGCAATAACCTAATGAGAGAAGCTGCTGCTTGGACCAAAGTGGTGGCAGTGGAGGTGGTGAGAAGTGGTGAGTTTGGATATATTCTGAAGATAAAGCTGACATCATCTGCTGGTAGATTGGATGTAGAGTGTGAGGGAGAGAGGAGCATCACAGCAACTCCTGGGTTTGGGGCCTGAGTAACTAGAAGGATGGAGTTGGATGTCTTTCTCTCTGAAATCCTTTCCTTCCTCAGCAGCCTTTGCAGGGTCCTCCCGGGCAGGTCACTCAACTGTTGGGTTCTTCAGGGCTCCGTCCTGGGCCACCCCTCGAGTCTCTCTCTGGTTGATATGATCTGTTCCCGCGTTGAAGCCAAATATCCTGAATGTGCTGTCTGGGTCACTCCTACAGGCCCTGGCTCTGGAGGATGCTGAAGGAGGAAGACACGGAAGCAGCACGGCCCTGAGGGATTAAGCCTCTTAATCCTGCAACAGGTAGCTTCTCTGAGATTCTTGGTGTCTGAATGCTTTATGACGAACAGGTCGTAAGATCGTATCTTTGACCCCCGTGGTGTGGAAAATGCCCCAAGAAGGGGAGGAGGGCTGTTCTGGGCCTGGACACCTGTAGATTTCTGGAAAACTTCCCTGGGAAATGGTCAGTGATTGAGGATCCATGTATTGGAGTTCAGCATTGTCTGGAATGGGGCTGAGGGCATCCTGTCTTCTCTCTCTTGACTTCTCAGAGTTGTTGTGAATAGTGAAGGATCCAAAGGATGTTCATGGATGGTAGCTCTAGAAGTGTAAGGAGGGAATTAGACATCTCGGGAGAATTGTAGTCCAAAAGGCCACTCTGAGAAACTCCACAGAGCCTGTCAGAGGCAGATTCCTGGACCAAGGAAACTTTGAGCTGGCCCTGAGGCACTTCTAGTGTTTTATCAGCTCTGCCTTGTGATTTCTTCCAGGCTCAGTTTATCCCTCTAGAAAATGGGCACATGGTTATGATTCCTCTGCCAGATCCCACACAGAAGCTGTCTGAAGGGTCAATAAATTTGTGTATAAACATAATTTTATTTTTTGAAGTTTAAACTCTGATCTAGCAAGAGATGGCTATTTCCCACAAATTCTCAGTGACAATGGGGAAGGAGGGTGGTGGTGTCTACTTTGATTCTTTCATTGTGTGCTGCTTTTTTTTCTTGGCATGTGCCACACTTTCCATCCCTCTTATGTGAGACTCAGAGTTGATTGCTTCCATTTCTTTTTTGTTGTGCCTGATTTTGATTTAATTTTTAAGCCATTGTGTCTTGGGGTTCCAGTAGGAGACAGCGGGTTCACTCAAATGGAGTAATCCAAGAGACTTTACTGAAGGGACTGTTTGTAATGGCGGAGGCAGGGCTAAGAGAAACCAGCACAGGATGTTGAAGCATCCCAGGGCTAGCACTGTCAGGCCCAGGTCTGAAAGGAAGAGGGAGGGATTGGTAATCAGAACTGGAAAGAGAAGCTGTGTGGAAAGGCTATCTGTGGTAGAAGGATGCAGTCAACTTAGAGCAACATGGCTGAGAAAGAACCAAGAGAGTGAATATCCTCATTGAACTTCCCTGTCAGTTCTCCCAGCTCCTGATGGTGCCTCCCATTAGGCCTGCTCAGCCAGAAGCCAGAAGGCAGGGAACCATATTGATGATGTCGGTAGAGATCGGAACCTCTAGGGGCGCAGAGTGAGTGAAGGGTGGTGGGTGGATATGGAGGAGCAAATAGAGAATATCTGAACCCAAAGAGGGTTTTTTGTTTGTCTGACTGAGTGAAACTTGGCATTATTAAGTCATCTACATAGAACCTTTGGCTGTGAGAGCTCGAAGGAGCAACAGAAACCCTCTAGTTAAACATCATCCTATTTATAGTTGAAACGACCCAGGGAAGTCAAGTGACGTGCCTGAGGCCACTCATTAATTCATAAAAGTGTTTTTTGAACGCCCACTACATTTTCTCTGGAAAAACAACACAAAACCACTTGAAATAGTTAAGAAACAGTGTAAAGCAAAATGTGAGCAAGTGCCGTAAAAAAGCTGTGGATTAGTGCTTATTTCCTTTTTAACAGTTTGGATTCTTTGGGGTTGTGAATACCAGAAAACCGAACTCAAAGGGGTCTCATGGCACATGGGATTCATTCATTGGCTCATGTACCTGCAAAGTGCAGGGATGGCGTGGACTGCAGGGTGGGTGTGAAACAGCAGCTCAACATGTCATCGACTGTCCAGTTTCTTTCCGTCTCTCTGTCGCTCTTCCACGGTGGCAGTTCATCCTCAGGCTGGCCTCTCTCACGGAGGCAGAAGAGCTGCAGAAGTTCCTGGGTTTATTGTTTTGCACATCCCTCTGGCCAGAAGCATCCCTTCCAGTAATTCTTAAAAGATTGAGAAAGTGTCTTTCCCGGAAGTCCCTCCCCAGCAAACCAACTCTGGCATTTCATTGGTGTGAGTTGAGTTATGTGCTCATTCCTTAGCCAATCCCAATGGCCAGGCGAATCCTGTTGATTGGCAGGGACGGGAGATTTTCCTGATTGGCCTATCCCTCCACTGTGCTTGGGCGGGTGGAGTGTGTTAGCTTTTTCTGAAGCACGGGGGCTGGGGGAGGGGAGGAGTACCAGAGCCCTGGGTACTGTTGGGGGAGGAGTGAAATGGGTGCTGGGGAGGGCAGCGGCTGACATCCGCCATACTATTATCAGTTATAGAAATCATGCTAATTTGGACTAATTGTTGGGGGTAATAGTGAGAAGAAACCTGCCCTTACCTAGTAAGTCTGAATTTTAAAATGTTTTCACACAGCAGTTTCAGACAGAATCTTCCCCAACAGTTGCAATTAGCATCTGCTTTTCAGTGTGTCTTAAAACGCAGGACCTTCTAGTAGGTTAAATGTGCCTTCCACAGTACCGTTTAATTTCTAATATGCTTATTCAACCTTTTTATAGCCAGAGTAAACACTGAACTCAAATTCTCGGTTAGTGGAGATTAAATTACAGTAATGAGGTTCCTCGTTTATAACCTCATCTATAAAATGGGAATAAGAATAGCACCTACTTTATAGGTTTGTTGTAAGGATTAATTGAGGTATTCCAAGTAAAGTGTCCAGTGGCCCAGTGGCTGGCACAATAAATGTTACCTTTATTAGCTCTTATATCTCAAAATATTGCACATTTATGTGTTTATGTGCATGTTTACTCTAGGAAATTAACTCTCTTCACAACAAATGTATTATCTGTTGCTCGTTAGCTCTGTTAGAGACGAGGTAAATAAAAGGATTAAAATATTTAGTGTTTATGGATTTTTTTTTAATAAAACTGGCTTTTTGTAAGAATTCGTTTTGAGGAAAACCTAAATAAAGAAAATTTTAGGAAGCATACGGTTAATGGTATAATTCATGGAAAATAGGGATTTTTAAGTTTATGGTAACATGATTATGTATTCTTATTTGAAAAATCTTTTAAATGCTTGAAGGCCTGGCATGACCTATCCCAGCTGATTTTCTTGCCTTTCTTCTGAATTCAGAGGCTCTGCAGGGGCAAGTGACCCTCCTGGGCATTGGCTTCCCAAACCAACCACGCAGTCTGGCTTTTCTGGATTGGGGTGTGATGCTGCAGTAGCAAGAAGCTAGTCTTGGGCGTTTATTTCAGCTGACAAAATGCTGTGAATGGTTCTCTAGAGCCTTTAGTGCCATAAGGCTGACCTCTCAGAATCCCAGGAGAGTGAAGTGTCTAGATTGGGGTGTCCAGATTAATGGTGGGGAGAGCACGGGTTGGCACAGCGCCCTTTAGCTCTATCACCTGTGTTCCCAAACCAGGAGGAGGTAGCTTTGTGGATGAGGTGGATAGGGTGCCGCGAGGAGCCTGTGGATAGAGGAAAAAGTTCAGAGCAACCAGGAACTTATAGACCGCAAATTTATAGACCATAAAATGTTTCGTCTCCCTTTCCCCTGAGTTTTGAGTAAAATTACACTTAAATTTTCTATAGATTGTTGCCCCCGAGGCTGGTCACCATTGTGATAACTTGATGAGAACTAGTGATAACTAGATGATGGACCCTGAATTCTGTGGTTCAGAGGGTTGTGTAGACAAGTGGTTCTCAAATATAGATCACCTGGACCAAGAAACTGCCGAAAAAAAGAAAGATTTGGGGGATTGGCTTAGGGCACCAATTTTTTATTTTGCCAAGGAAGGATGTTTTTAAAAATCTAACATCTGTCACCCCAATTTCATAAAAGAAAGGACCATTTTGATGCCAAAATAGTAGGGAGGAGATAATCTAAGAATAAAACATAAATCTTTACGTTGAAAACATTCAGCTTTAGGAATAATTTACTCACTGTTCTTACTTTTCTGACATAAACTTGAAAACTACATCAAGGGTGGATGCTGCCCTGATCTTTCCATAACTTGTGTTGGGGAGATGTGGAGTTATCTACTTAATGTGCAACTGTAGAGGAAAAAAATCATAGTTTTTTGAAGCCTGTCTTGGAGTCTGGGAATTCTCTAAACTCATGTATTTCTTTAATTTAAAGAGGTGGGAGAAATTCAGTTGAACACAAGTCTTGATAAATCCAATTCATTTTATAAAGAAGAAACTGTTTGCTCTCATGTCATGTACTTAGAATTGTTAATTTTCCACCAGTAGGAAGAAAATCTTGCAACACCTAAATAGTTCAAATTAAAAGGTATGTCAACAGTTTTTCCGTTTCCACAGTTGAACCCTAAAAACGGTGAACCAGCTCAGTTTGATTTGGCTTTCGGTTGTTTAGTGTGCCTCTGCGTGTGGGAAAGCGCACACACAAACACACGCAGAAAATTTAGTTTGGTCTGAAAAACCCCAGAAAGGAAAGGGTTCTTTTGAGAAAATCAGCATGTGCATCAGTGAGTTGCTGGTAAGTGTTAGTACTTGTAGCAACAATTGCTTCTTGGAGCTGCCAAAAGAGTAGGACTTTTTCGGATGCCTGTTGGAGTCATTAAAGAACCTCTAACATACACCCAACCACCTCTGGCATTCAAAACGGTAATAAAATGTTCCTCATTCTGCTTCGCTTCACATGCCTGCTTGGCTTTGCCACAAACATGTTTTGCCTTCCAGCCAGGGATTAAGCTTCTGTGTGAGGCCATGACTGGTGTGAAAGCAACTTCTCTGCTCTTGTTGAGGGGGAGGAAAGACTGCTTGGGTACCTGTGTGAAATCCTGAATGGGATGGTTCTGAGGTCCCTGCCTTCCTGCCAAGCTCTCCTAATGCTCATCACCTTGACTGACAAAAGGTGACCTAATCTTAATGTTCCAGTGATCTCGAATGTTTCATGGATTCTCTGTGAACAAGGACATGAACCCAGATGTGTCTTTCTCAAGAAAAAGCAGACCATTCTGTGGCACACTCACATCTGCCATTATTGCCCTGTTCACGGCCTCATTCTTGGGCACGGTGTCGCTGTTCGGGTCCTGTTGATATTCTCACATTTGCTCATATGGCACA